TGTTTCTTTGCATTGCATGTGCATTGGTGCGCCTAGGAACACAGTGTTTGCCATCTGCCATTCGTGAACGGTTTGCCGGAGGCTTGTCTTGTCAAGGCATGTCCGTAAGGGTGACCGGCTATGGGCTCTGACAGTATGGGAACACAAACCCCGGTTTTACCGGGGCACCCTTTTTGACCATTCGACCTAGTTCATATTCGGATCCATAGTGACCATTCCAAATTAGGACAAGGTTGCTTACCCGATGTAGGTTGTTTGAGAACTGCTGCGTGCATAGTGAAACCCTAGCTCCTGACAAAATAGGACAGGGAAACCCTACCCCAATGTAGGGGTGTTTTAGCTCCTTTTACTTGCTATGTGCTTTTAGAATGTATTTCTACAGGGAAATGTACATACCAGTTTGCAAGTTTGGGCATCAAGCCTGAGGGCATCAGTATCAGTTTTAAGAGAATCAGTTATCTGCGGGTATCAGGGTTCAGTGTTGGGAACAGAGTTCATCAGGCCTGAGGGCATCAGTATCAGTTTAAGAGAATCAGTTATCTGCAGGTATCAGGGTTCAGTGTTGAGAACAGAGTTTGTTTTTGGGGAAACAGTGATCAATATCGAGGAATAGTGTGTTCGGCTCACCGACTTTGTATTTTGAATATCTAACTGTGTATTATTTGTTTATTTTATGCCGTTGTGCTGTCCAGTTGTTGGTTTATTTATTGTTTTATTTATCTTTTTGCTAGGTAGTTTAGCATCATTGCGTCTAACCCAGTAGACATTCCCCAAGCAATCTGGATCAGAGGTCGCCGGCTCCATCGATCTGAGGATCTGATAGAAGGACAACCAGTGTACCGTTCTCTACCCCCGGTTACTAAACGGAAGGCAACTAGGCAGAGGACATCGGTTCAACAGTCAGTGCAAGGGGCTTCGTCTACCCCACCTGTGTACAGTAGGGATCAGGATCCCGTTTCACCCACAGAGAGGGAACGCATACCAGTAATTCAACCAGAGCAGAACAGTATGGCTAGCTTAGAGGAGATGGTGCGCCAACTTCAGGAAAGCATGAAAATGATGTAGCAGGACGCTGTCCGACAGGCAGAATTCGCCAGACAACAAGCTACAGTCATGAGTGAGCAAGCGGATTTAATTGGGAGATTGCAACAGCAAACTGGGGCATCACCTTCGCAGCAAATCCCTCCTCCATTAAGGGCTCCAATACCCGAAGAGACACCAAACGCCCGGAATGTCCAAGAGGATACAGACATCCCAACAGGGCCAGCTCCCCTCCCGATTCCACCTCAACAATCCAAAGCACCCACCCCCATCAATCTGTCGGATTCTCCCTTCGAGTCCGAGGTGGACCCCATGACGTTAAAAATGCACAAGCTTGAAAAGCTGTTCAAGAAATCTCAAGGTGCGAAGTCCATTCCGGACATTGGAGACGGATACATCGACACAGCTGTGACGCTGCCAGATCGGTTTGGCCGGACCTTGTCAGGTGTGGCGGCCGCATGGTATGCCAAGTTAGAGGATGACGTCAAGCGAAATTGGGACGAGATGGCTGAGGCCTTCATCCTGCAGTACTCATACAATACGCAAATCGAGATCACGACCCGGGATCTCGAGACAACGAGGAAAGAACCCAAGGAAAGCTTCTCAGAATTTGTAACTAGATGGCGGGCTAAGGCTTCAATGATGACCTTGAGACCCACAGACAAAGACCAGATTCGGATGATTGTGCGCAATCTTCAGCCGAAACTAATGCAAAAGATGATTGTAGTCCCCTTTCCCACCTTTGCTAATCTGCATGAAATGGGGGTGCAGATCGAGGACGCCTTGAGACAAGGTTGGATTGATAATGACCGGGAGCAACCCCGCAGAAATTTCAATCGTAATACTAATGCAGGCCCGAGCGGCGCTACGACTGCCAGGACCTCCGAAGTGAGTATGGTCACCACTAACCCTTCCCCAAGAAATACGGCAGCCACACCATTCTCCGGTGCGTCCAGAAGCAACTCACAAACAGCCAAATACCCTCCCAGAAACACCAGAACCTTCGCTCCACTTTATATGCCCCTGTCCAAAGCTTTGGGGGTTTTGATCAGAAAAGGGCATCTGAAGCCCCTAGAGCCGTGGCCCTTACCTGAAAGACCGCCTGCCACCCACAATCCAGCCAAGTATTGTGCGTTCCACCAGTAGCACGGTCATGACACCGACCTATGCTTTCGTTTACGTCATGAGATTCAAGATCTCATTGATAATGGGGTGATTTTACCCCCTGAAAAACCCAATGTTACTACAAATCCTCTCCCCACACATAACCAAGTTCCACCACACAAAAGAATCAATTTCATCCACACTGGGGTCGCATCCTACGATCCTAGTATCTATATCACACCCTCCTACCTGCCTAAGCCGAAAGTTTTCCTCCCTGATTGCACCAATTTGTGCATGATGGATGTCTCTATAACCCAGCCCAAACCAGTGGTGGTGACCACCGAGAACAGGAAAGAGGTTGTCAAACCGGAGTCTGTGGAGCCTGAGAATGATGTTGGGAGTACTTACAGTCCGAGTGACTACATTTCACCAGTGGGCCAGAATAGACCAAATGTCGGATTTCCAGTCGGGGGAGAGCTGTGTGTAATCCGAGGGAACAGTTCAAGACAGGAAACGGATGATTTGGCAGCCATGGAAGAGGATTTTGCCAAGTTCCAATTTTGCGATAACCAAGATCTAGAATATTCAGCCACCAATGAAGAATCAGCGGAGGCCACGGGATGGTTAGACGATCAGCCAGATGTAATAGGGGAGTTTCAGTCAGAACAAGGCCCAGCAGGGGCGGGAATGTCCACAACGGCCGGGAGTGTTGAAGAACAGAATACATCGCCGGAGAGCGCCGGTGTCGAGAATTTCGCTCGGGAATGGAGCATTTTGAGTACAGGGATCAGTGAGCAATCTATTGCATTGACACAGTCAGAACAGGAAAGACTCGAAGATTCTGAGAGGGTCAGGAAGGCAAAAGGTCATATGGGGGTTGAGACTGCCAAAAATACAGAAATGGACAATGCTGCGGGCATAGGGATAAGAGGTACTGCAAGTATCGGGACAGTTGTGCCAGAACCAGACAGATGCTTGTCAGCTGCAGATGGTATGTGGTGGGAAGACGACGATCTATGTCTGACCCACACGGACGAGGATTGGAAAGATAACCGACCAGATGATACCTGGTATATTGGCGAAGTCGATCACATGACTAGGAGTGGACGGTATTTCAAGCCTCCACACCTAGATCAACCAGAGGCGTCTGGAAAAGATAATGAAGCAGAGAAACAAAAGGAGAAGCAACTCGAAGACGAGGCCGTATTGAGACAATTGAAAAAGATACAAGCAGACATCTCCATCTGGGGACTGCTTATGGCATCTCGAGTACATAGGCAGGCTGTCCTTTCAGCCATGGATAAGGCCAAACTTTCCATAGATACCACGCCCGAACAGCTGGTGGGCTTAGTCTTTTCGGGAGGAAGTTCCCCAACACGGATTGTACCCCTTTTGTCCATCGCCCAACTTAGCAGGAAACCGGACATACTCCTCGTCTCAGATTTCACTAAGTATGCGATAAA